GTTGGCTATCTATCATCTCATATCCAACGCGCACTCATGGAGTAATTGTTAAGTATTTAGCCAAATTAGAGATAGTGGAGAGGGATCTTAGATGTACTCTTTTTTTCTCATTTACATATTACTGTAACTGTACTGTATGAAGTATCCCAGTTATTTTGTTGACCCTCTAACTCCCAAGATGTACGTTTAAATTCTCCCCTCTAGCTGCGAGACATTTCCTTGAAAATTTATTACAATAATTTGGTGCCAGATCAAGCCTAAAAACTTCTAAATGATAAGTTTCAGTATTTTCACTACATGTTTGCTGGATAATGCATGAGTATCATGGAGAGAAGTTACATGTTAATCACATCTGGGATTCAGTCTATCCCCATACTCCACCAAGCTCTCAATCCTGGTAACATCCCTTCATAAAGAAACTGCAACCACAACTTACCATTACCCTTCAAGAAAACTTTGGTCCCTTTCTAAAAGAACCAGCGGGTACCCTTTTGTAAAGCCCTTGATGACTTTAGTTGGGCGCGTCTTGAATTCAATTTTGTACGGCATGCATTTTACTTGCGTAAGTTATCTATACGGTTCTTTTCAGCAGCAGTTATGGTTATTTGTGTCCTGTAGTCCGTCGTTGTAATCTTGGGTAACGATGCCGTATGTACTCGGGTATGCGCCCCGTATGGAAGCAAACTACCATGAAAACTTCCCTTCCCCCGTTAAATAAGCGTGTATTCAACAAGAAGAATGCGGGATTAACCTAAAAATTATATGGGAAATAGCTTAGGGAATTGCGCTATCGTTCATGTCATTGGTAAACAAATCATAAGACAGATATTCCGATTCTGTCTCGGCGAAAAAGTGAGTCGTTGGAACTTCAACCATGTTTCTCTTTGAAATTATATTTGCTCACATTCCACGAGTTGTTCAAGCTATTAATGCTTAAAAATAATGGCGCCCTCGATCGAAGAAACGCTGCCCTTGAACAAATGAAGCCTAATAAACGCCAGAAATTTATCAAACGCCAAGTAAAACGTGATCAGTGTTAATATCGGTGAACCTGAAGGAATTAAAGCCTTGCATCAAGAAGGCTTCACTGTTTCGAACGGTCCTTATCCGAGGCTCGTGTGAGTTGGCTCTCCTGTACGATCGGATTTTTTTCTCCGGCCTCTGCCGATAATCGAAGTGAACAAATCATCAAACTAACCATCATAAACAAAATAAAATGAGTGGTCTAAAAGTACACACGGGTGACCAGAAGTGACTAAGCCATCAGTATACAGTCAAACCTGTAATAAGCGGTTGCCAACGGCAAACGGAGCTTAATACAGGTTGACCGCTAAGTACAGTAACATGATTTAAAAAGAAAAAAAAACACCACGCCATTTTATGCTAATATCATAATTGTGATTTAACCGAAAAAAAAAGTTCAGAGGCTGAAAAATGGTGTGCTTGTAGAGCATGCCCGCGAGGGGCATTTGCCTGCCTTCAGTGGACACCCACAAATTTGTTCCTCGCTTAAGCATAGTAACTTTCTCCCCACAACTGAACTGAAAAAAGTCATCGTCTGTAGCATAATAGCAAATTTGGTGTTTACAAGACGGACAATCCACAGAGGCCAGAGTACTAAGAGACTGAATGCATCACACTTTTGATGTTTCGCGTAACGCGGGGGTCTTCCTCAACATCTGTATAATATTTGTAGTTAGGTAACATAGGAGGGTAAAGCACCAAACCTTTCAGTAGGGCTAGCCCGCAGAAAGGGCTTGTTTGCTTTTTTCGCGAGAAAGGATCAATCAGTCACCTGCGTCAGTGTCGAGTAGCGTCAGTTTCGCAAATGTTTTATATCTTGTGCGTCATGATTTTATTAAAGCAAAATTCTAAAGATTGCAAAATTCACTATTATACGGTTACATGAACATGAATGGATTTCGTGGGCTCGTGCTCCCCCTTTTTATTTCCAATATTTTTCTTATTCACACTCTCTAGATAATTTCAAGTAGGGTTTTGATTGGACTGATGGTAAGGAGCCCATTTCTTATGTGCTCCTGGTATGGTACAGAACAAGATGATGATTCCTCCATATAGTTTCGGCCCCCTCTTTGTCGTACACCGCCCTTGTATTTTGAAAACACAACAAGGAACACCATTTATTTCACTGGCATAACTAAGTCCAAGGGCGTGGACAGGAGCTTCCAAGAGGGGTGGATCATCATCACACACATGAGTGTCTCCCCCATTCCCCCGTCCCTCTCCCTCGATCAGGCCATTAGTGTTAATTAACTAAAGTGGGGTCTCTCAGGTCATGACCATTAAAAAGGTGATGAAAGGCGACAGTCACAGACTAAGAACCTGATTTATTAAATGCTGCCATGAATGACCGACCATGTGATACGTTCATGAATGACCGACCATGTGATAAGTTCATGGTCAGCTGTAGATAACGGGATGAGATAACCGGTAGGAGCAAGCTTAATATACCTTAATGCCTAATGTATAGCATCTGCTTAGCTGTTGTCAGTGCTTGGGAAACTGTAACAGGCAAACCTAGTTTTTAAATCTTTAAATATTTTAAGATAATTTGCCAACTTCGCCGAATCGTCATTGGCGCTTTGATTGCCGTCCAAGAACACCCGATCGACAAATTGACTAATATATTCATATTTGTTGGTTAATTGTCCTACCAGACCAACAGCATTAACATTGAATAAACTATCAGTTTACAGGTTATTATTATTTTTTTTTTATCTCTAGATCTCTATCACAGGATCTGCCGTAATTAACGAAGATGTTTATGTCAACTACTGTCTCCATTCGAAATAGGTATCCAGTAATGCCTGACTCGACCTCATTCGTGAAATAGCTCTCCCATATTTGACTATGATTAAAAATTATTTGCTACCAACACGCATACTTCCTTCTTTTAGCCCGCCGTGAGATCATCAGGTATTTTACACAAAGAAATATTTCGAGATTTTCCGATATGTCCTGTGTTTAGTCAAGCGGAAGTGGCTCGGAAGTATGCGATTCCCGCGCGTATTGTAGATAAGGCGTTGTGATTGGCTGAGCGGGAAAATGTGAAATTCTAAATATTTCTGTCACGTGAACGAGCATTAAAGGCAAAGCGCAAAGAAAGCAGAGGTTGAGACGGGAATTAAACGCTTAATTTTTCTTTCTTTGCTTGAAAAAGATGGAAGACGAAGAAGCTGTGCTCAAGAAAAAGGTAGGGAAGAGTCTGTTGAATGAATTTCGAGCGTTATGAGATGTTAACAATCCTTCACCCTCCACTTCCGATTATGAAGGCAATTCGTACAGTAAACAACTAACGGATGAGCTTGAACTTCAGCTTTGTTTGCTGCTAAGCTCTCGGCCTTCAATCTTTACTGTGCGATTGTTTACTAGCTGTTGAACTCTTCGCATTTCACTTAAGTAGGATAATTCTTTAAATGCTCGCATGGACCAACGGTTTTCAAAAGCGGTTTGTTGTCACTTCCTACTGAGCTGACACCGTAGGTATTCTTTTTTCCATGAGTTCTTTAATGAGAGTTGTGTGTGAGCCATTGCGGTCTTGACGATCACCATTTTACCCTTGGATCGTTTTATAACTATTTTTAGCCCTCCCATACCGATAGAATCGATTCTAAACAACAATTATGTAAATCTGAAAATGACTTACATTTTGTTTCTGCTATTTGTAACATTTTCGCTAAAGTACGATATCACGAAAGATCGCGATCGGCCAGATGTGGTTTAGAAATTTTTCTTCGTTGGTAATTTGGAAGGAAAATATTTTTAACTTTGGTTAGTGCTGCCATCAAATCCTGCTGTATTAGCAATATTATGAAACTGCGTGTATATTGTAGTCGAAATATCCTGAAAATGGATTTGTTACGTATCGAGCTGTATGGATTGTTGATATGACAATTTTGTAGGTTTGCTAAGGTAACATTCACTCATTGTTTTTTTTTTTTTTTTAACAGTTAGCGGCACGTTCTCACTACCATAGCGGTTCTTGAACCTTTGTGTAATCTTCTAGGTAGTCAAATTACCAAGATACCTCCAACAGGATTGCGTATTCTTTTAAATTTGAATAGTAACTGCAATTGATCATATTTATTAGCAGCTTAATTACGTTCGTTCATCTTTTGGTCCCATCTCCGTTCATTTTATTTCGCGTAAATTTCGAGACTGCTTTTTAATTGTGGCACCATTGTAAAATGCTAAATAATTACTACGAGTCGATTTTCCCTGTCACAAGTCGACATTTTACTGCTAAAAGGATGGGTTGTAAAATATTTTCACGGAATGTTTACAAGGAATGTGATATAGGCCTTGCATGTTGCCGAGATGACCAAAAATTCTTTTCATTTTAAGATAATCTGCCGACCAATTTTTGTTTTCTTGTATCTGTTTGTGTCTTAATCTTTCCCTGTACTTTCTCAAGAGAGCCAAAGTTGTTTTGTCATCAACAGATTCTTTCTGCTATTTTCATTCTTAGGAATTAATTTATGTTTGAGAAATCGAGACACTTGATTGATTTGCTTATTTGATTGCTGTTCTGCCTCATTTAGCCCAAAATTAAGTATCAACACTTAACTAAATTCATTCGGGTGTAGGAATATAACAAAGGTAAACAGTTATTGTTCTTCTCTGTTAGTGAAATTGTTCAATTGTTTATGGGTGATTCCCTCGTGTCCTTATTTGTGTTACCCTGTGAAAACAAGGCTGCAGAATGCACAACTGAATTACAGGGTTAGGTGTCATAAATACTGAATTTTCTGAACACTCTTTAGTCCATGGAAGCTACTTCAGAATGAACAATTTTGATGTTTGCTGTCAGTGGTGAAGTTGCTACAAAATTCAGTATTTGCATTAGGCATTCCTTTATCTTTGACTAATAAAAGTAGTCCATGTACCTTCTGTTGTTTAGTTTTAGACTATTGCAGTAAAAAAGCAATGTGGCATAAACTGCAGAGGGGTTGACAAACAGCACTTGTCAATGCCAAACTTGTGACAAAAGGAGGACCTCTTTAGAGTAGTGTTTGTACACTGGTCAATCAACAGGTCAGGAAGTGGGCAGAATTTTTAATAGAATAGGTACATGTATTAGATGTGCATCAAATTTATTTCAGGACAGAACCTTGCCACTTCATATACTCTTTGTACCTGGCACTTTGGACATTTCTCCTCCTCTTAAGTTCAGAGGTATTGGGTTTGAGCCCTGACCTTCCCACTTTTTTTCTTTTTCTTTTTTTCCTCTCTTTTCTCTTTCCTTATTTATTTTTTTAAATTTCAATTTCAATTCTTCTTCCATTAGGATATGTTAGGTATGTTCAGAGTAAATGGATATGTGTAAACACTTGACAATATAACTCATACATTCAAATTGATAACCATGTCAAAATGCAGAGGTGAAGCCCTGAAAAAAAAAAACAAAGCAAAAACAAAAAAATCGGAAGACACTTGATCAGATTTGTTCAGTGACGACCAGTGTAAAAACTGAACCAAGACAAGTAACAAGAGATGTTGGGAGTGTCTCATGATAGTTCAATATTTCAAAAACTGTGAGGGGCTTGGAGAAAGGTTTATGGACTTACACCAAATCAGAATTTCCACATAATTGATTTTCGTCAAAAAGGAGGCAGTGATTATAACTATAAGGCTGGGTTTATATTAAATATTTATCTCAGAAAAATAAACAGTTGTAGAAGACTATCATAGAGATAAGGAAGAAACAAATCTGCTTAAGATACTTCACAAAGTACTTGTAGCTCCTGGGGTTGTAACCTTTTTCTCTTTGTTAATTATGATTATTAGTGAGACTTAATTTTTATCCTCAGAGTGCTAGGTGACTTCCTTAACTTTTGCTGTTTGAAATGGCAAAATTGTTGAAAGTTATTAGATATTAAAATGTTTAATTCAACAAAATCAGTAGTGACTGTGTTTCTGTATACTCAAAGATGCCTCTGTGGTCAAATTCACAATAACTTCGGTCTCTTAATTTACACTTTAAGATTTTGAACACCAGAAGTGATATACAGTCTTGTAACTTGATATATTTGCAGTGTATTTGCGATGCAGCCAAGTGTTGTATGTTTATAAAACTGTTAGCTTAAGGGTTTATTTTGTTAGAGCCTTACATTATCTTTACTTACATGTAAAGAAGGGTATAATAGCTTTTAAAAAGGAGGATTGTCATTCCGATTTGGGGAGTTTGAAGACCCCACTTTCCATAGGGCTCTTGATAAATGCAGTCAACTCTCCGCTAACCCACATCTCATAAATGGTTAGTTCTAATTTACAGACACTTCCCAATTCCCAAGCGTGTCTGCTTAAGAGAGAGTTAACTAGTAAGATTAAGATGGAGCATTTTCAGTTTAGTGTTAAAATTATTCTTGGATTGCTTTGGTTTTGCTTTAACTTGGCTCTGACTGGTTTTAAGAACTTGTGCTACCCTCACATTAAATTAGATGCAAACCTTGAGACTTTGACACAGGCTTTCTCTTTAGCTTCTGGCAGTGTGTTTGTTTTCATGTTAGTCCAGATTGTTACAATATTTTCCTGTGTTCTGATTATAACCATTATGATTAGAGTTTAGTTTTGGTTTATGCAACACTGAATGGAGAAGCACTTTTATATGCAAACCAGGTCTAGGCATGTACCCTAACAATGCTGTTTATTTTAAAGTTGGAGGATACGACTAATTTTGAAGAAAGACGTGAAATCAGGCAAAAGCTCAGAGAGCTACGCAAAAAGAAACTTGATGCTTTAGAGTCTGCTACAACTGCAGCAAATGAAAGACCAAGGAGAAGAGATAGAGTTAAAAGAGAAGAGCAAACCACTATTATAACAGAGACAAAAACAACCAGTGGTGATTCTTTGGAGCCATCAACAGTGCAAACTAAGGTAGAGGTCAGTTATAGTCACACTGTGGCAACTGATGAACCCTCTGAAAATGGTATTGAAAATGGACATGTTGAAAGTGAAAGTGTTGTTGAAGAGGAAACAGTTTCTGCTAAGGAGGAAAATCCTGTTGAGGAACAGCCAGGGGAAGGTGAAAGTGCAGCGCAGTTGAGTATAGAAATCAATGGGAAAAAAAGTTTCCAAGATAAAGATGAAGAAGTGGTGCTAGCACCACAATCTGAACTTTCAACAGAGACTGAAACTGTAGAAAAATCTTCTGAAACAGTCAATGAGGATGAACCACCACAGGACAATGAAGAAGAAGAAGTTGAAGAAGTAGAATTAACACCAGAAGTGATTGAGAAAATGGAGGACTTAGATCAATTGGAGAAACTGGTGAGAATAAGAAATCTTCTTCTTTGTAGTTCAACTTACTTTATTTCTTATACTATGCATTCAATCAATGCCTTTTAAACCTTTACACCTTAACATCAGTATGCATATTCTCCATACTGTTCTTCTTTGTACATTTCTCAAGGCACTGGCAAGGAGAATTTATTTAACAATCAAGAGCTTGTTCAGTTGTTGATATGACCTTAGTGTGTGAT